GCATTCTCTAAACATTCATTTAAGCATAATAATAGTATTCAATTAATTAATTTATTTTAGCTCTTAATGTTTTTACGCTACTATGGTATATTATAATGCTTCAAGTTGTAAAATACATACCTATGAAATTCGTGAAAAATTCGTGATATTGTTGAAATCAATAAATAACGTATTCCCGATATTCCGGCATATCTATATACTCCCATACGGAAATCCCTGACGCGGCGCTTACGTGACTGCGGACGGTGAATTAACGACGAAGCGATTTCGCGACATTATATCGCCGGCTACTTGGCAAATGGAGACGGCATTATATCTCGCGGCACGTGCTGCTTGGTAATCAGGCGGAGTACCTGGCTGCGTGGTAGCATATTGCAGGGTTTCAGGTTCGGGTCCACTATTTTCCGCGACGACGCGCCATCCGTCCGCGTATGGCGTGCTACCAAGTATTATCACGCTCGCTCCCGTCGTCAGTTTCGCAGACGACGCTCTTTAATAATATCCCGTCTGGTTTCCTACCCTCCGCGCGAATAAAGCGCATTTCGACTTTTGGCGATTAGCACCGTATGTTCCACAGCGGAAGCGTTTCAAATTAAATGTCGACGCACCTGAGTCTTGGACTCTATGACACATGAAAAGAAAGAGGTACTTCTAAGCAAGAGATATAACCAGATATATTTCACTGTCGAATCATATTTCATTTTCAGCCTTCAAGCCACTCGTTTACAGATGCAGAGTGATTTTGCTTGCGAAATGGATTTCTTTATAGTTAAAAAAGAATTTAATAACTATTTGTAATAAAAACATGTAATTGTTATTTATAGTTCTTCTCTACATCGTTTATTTTTATCAAATTTGACTACATATGATATGGTTGCGATATACCGTCCTTTGTAACACGAAGGTGAGATGATTCTTAGAAATCTGTTATATTATCTATTGTAACTCGAATGTGAGATGTTCCTCATAATATGTTAATATAATTAGATATTTGGCTATTTATGTATTTCCGATGAGGACTAAGTATAGTCGAAACGTACCGTTGAAACTTATCGTTGGAAAATTATATTGTAATTTGTGATTAATAAATATTATTTAGTACACCTAACTATAGCTCGTTTAATGTATTGACCTGGGTTTTACTATTTATTAATTTATCATTCATAGAACTTCGAACTTCGAACAAAGAAATAATGAATTATATTTAGTTGAATAGAAATTGTAGAATAATTATTAATACAAAGTTCAAATATTTTGCTCTTGAGATATCATGCAAATGATGTTACGTACATCTTTGAATTTTTTGTAATTTAACGTCCATATTACCATCTCATTTTATCGATAAAAAAATTTTTAATTTTCATTTCTGAGATTCTATAATATATGTAATACAAATTATATACTAAATGCACATTTATGATAAAAATAAGATGTGAATATGGATCTAATCTTTCTCTTCTAAGAATTTTCATGATTTCGATATTATTCTTTAAATACTTTTATACATAGACGTTCAAATATAATATTTTTAATGTGAATCTTATTTTGATAAAATAAAATGTTATATATATATATATTATATATATATATACGATTTAGAAACGATAGTTGGTTCATTATTTCCTTTGTTTCATATATATGTTTAAATTAGTTGCACGATCTACAGTTATTATTGTATTGTATATTTGTATTTATCAAATGTATGGAATCTAAAAAAAATAAAAAATAAAAATCTACGAGACAAGGATGCGATATTTCTATTTCATCGATGAATTAAAAACCGTCTTTAGGGGGAGCGTAGTTTTCCCACAGAATAGCCCGTATAAAAGAGATCCCGGTAATAATAGGTTACCGTCAGGACTCGCTTCTCTAGCCACGTCTATTCAACCTGTCATTCGCGTTTTGCGGTCGCTATTGTGATTTGCAATGGTAACCCTTCGCACATCCTGTCTATTGTCGCGAAAACGTTCGCTCGCGCTCCTATACCGCTTCCTCCTTTCCTGCATGTTCCCTATTTTTCCTCGCTTCTTTGCACTTGTTGTGGAATTTTTTATCTGTTTCTTTAAGCTCTTCTCCATTAATGATTATACTTGCATAATCATAAAACAGTGCAGATACAAACACTTCATTATATACAGCTTTACTTTTATACATAATAAATTATTATTATAAATAGAGTTATATATATATATTTCTATTTTTTTTCCAAAAAACTAAAAAATTATTTTAAACTTTTTCGAAAAGCAAATATAATTGATTGAGAAGCAAAATCTCTATGTAAATTCTAAATTTTTATTTTATTTGATCCTCTTATTATAAAAGAAAAAAAAATTGTTACGTAAAATTGAAAGTAAAATTCCGAAGTATTTCGATGTCTTCTCCATTCACTTTTGAAGCCCTAACAATAAGAAAATAATGTGTCGTTATAGACATACAATATGTAGAGCAAGTGAACCATATAAGTAACGATTATCCCAGGTCAGTCCCGTGAACAATCAGAACGGAACAAATTGGGACGAGAGCGATTATCAAGTTCCATAGGACAGTTTTACATTGTGTAGTAGGCGACATATGGTTGATGGTTCATTACTATTTTGTGCACAACTTGCTTAAATACCGTGAAACTTTTTCGTCGTTCGCAATGAAGACAGGAAGGGGTGGAAGGAAGGAAGCTAGCGTGGAGCATATAAGTAGCATGTAAGACGGTCTTTCTATTCCTGTGCTACTTCCTTCGTGCGGATGTCTGATTGTAGGTTCCGGAATATATCAATTGTACTTTTTGGTTAGAGACTTCTTGGTTTCCGCTTGTTTTTGTCACATTGACATTAGTTCGTGGCACACATCGTGTAATATCTACATAATATAATTTTTTTCAACATCAAGCAGAAACGTGGCAGCCTCTTCGTAAGTTCATCTATATTCTATCGGAAATACTATCCATCGATTGATCATGAATATTAATTGTTTTGCATTATTTAATGATTAGTAACTATCGTTAATTAACTATCGTTAATTGTAGCTTTCGTGCAAAAGTAAGTTCTCGACGTGTTGACTGAATAATTTGCAGCTACGGCAACTACGCATATGTGTCAGCCTTGACAATCTGGAAAGTGGTTAAGCATTAAAGCCGAAATTCCTAGCTACCGTGCATCAGAACGACTGATGGTAACGTTGACGACGCCTCGAGGCGGTGCAGTTGCAGGCAGCGAGCTGCAGCGAGATAGGCTAACGTCATAGGCCGTCTCTAGGGTGCAACTATGCCTTTGGCTTTGATGTTACCCACGGTTACGTCACGTGATCGTCCGCTATATCGTAGTTAATGGCCGGGGCCACATAGGAACGCAGCATTATCGAAGGGAGTTTAAAGGGACCTGGAGTAGGGGGTGAATGAAGAGGATAGAGGGACGAGTGGAGCCGCGGGTGCATCCGGTGAGGCGGAAGTCCCGGACAGCCTCCGGATGCTTCGTGGCGCCTACGGTCAGCGAGACACATTCGCGCTACATCGACGCATCACGCGAATACAATTATTCGCGACGACTTAACCGCTCGCGTCTGCGAACACAGACAGCTCGAATTGCGTTCTAAGTATAGTGTTGCGTGATAAGGCGACAGAGAAAATCACGTGTGAACTGTAAACAAGACCAAGGCTAACTTTTGTATTCTAATATCTGCTTGATTATTAAATAGCAAGCATGAATTATCCATTACAAGCTACTACAATATAAATAGCACGGGAAGAATTGAAAATTTTTAACTTAAATCTTCCTTTTTATTTGGATATTTGAATATTTGATCTTTTGTTGCATAAAGTCTGTGAGAATCAGAACACATATTCGTGACGTAATTTTTATCACCATACTATATTTACATAAATATAGTTTCTGTGATACAAGAACTATAGAGTAACTCCGGTATATACGCCGCACCTATCAAAAACTTAATTTATTAAGTATTATTTACTATGTTTAAAATAAACGAACTATATCAGTAAAAACTTTGTACTGTTTATTACTATGAAAAAAATATTAAAAATCCGAAATATTTAGTTTTCGTATTAAAAAATAAACTTTTTGAAATCTTGCATTTTTGCTATATATGTATAGATAATGGGTGGGATATATGGCAAAAATGCAAGGGTTTCAATAAACTAAACAAAGAATACGAAAGCAAAGCACTTGTATTTTGCCATACAACATGTTTTACTATTTCTCTACACGTATGTATCACGAAATAACCACTAGGTCTTTTACACGCCTTACAGTAATCATTTTATGTAGATTATAATTTATGATGATGTTACTTGTTACACACACAGTGACAAATCGATTCAACTCACAATAATTTCATTAATATTAACAGTAAGAAGCTGAAATTATAACTCAATACTAATATAACAAAGGCATGTAACATAGTAGTTGCGAGAAAATTATCCCCACTCCTTCTATTTTTTCTGACTTCCGCGGGGTAAATACCAGCGCGGCGTATATACCGGAGTTATCCTATTTGCATAAATATAGTTCTTTCTGTCTTGATGTAAAAAATTCTCAAGAATAAAAAACGTGTTTTTTTAAATTAATACATGCAAATTAATACTTAATTTTAAAATATTTTTGATTTATTCAAACAGTTAACTAAATTTATATAATAGTATATATTATATTATTGATATATTCAAACATATTTGAATATGTTGCGTAAACTTTATTAAATATTAATATTAATAATAATAAATTTATATTTTTGTAAAATGGAAACTTATATATTTTCTAGAATTAATAATATTATAACTTATAAACATTTTATTAACAACCCTATTTTGTTACTGCACTTCGTGTACATCGATGTACAAGTAGTTTATAATCATCATAATCATTTGGAATAAAAAAAATTCTGAAATGCTTTTTATACTTCGTATTATAAAACAATGATGTGTACATGAATATGTAAAAACGTAGGTTTTAAAGTTGCGGTTTTTCTTTGCTACCGCTTAGTTTTATTCAAGCATATGTAAGAGAAACACGTTCGTCGAAGCGAAATTATGGCTCAGTTGGAATCTAATTATTATATTTCGGAAACGGCAAGTAAGTTCAAAATGTATATATGTATATATATATGTATATATTGTGTCGAAGAAATTTTTAATCTTTAAACTTTTTTTAGAAGTGATATTACAAAATATTTTTTCTCACACAACAAATTATGTTAACTTCCATTATATAGATTTCACAGATACACAAAAGACAAAATGGTTATTAGTATCTGCGCCGATGCCAATATTTTTTATATCCATAGTTTATCTTTATATCGTCTACATTGCTGGTCCGCAATTCATGAAAAACAGACAACCATACTCTTTGAAAACGTTTATGCAGTGTTACAATCTTATTCAAATTATTTCAAATGCTTGGATAGTGTTTAATTTCGTGACATATGCTAGACCATTTACTGCTGTACGGAGATTTTGCGGGTCACTCGATGAACTTTGCGGCAATTATAGTGAAAAGGTATATTAAACTTTGAAATTACCAAAAATGAGAAACAGTCTAAATGTACTAATTTAAATTAGTAGGTATATTTTAATTGTTATTCATACGACATACGTACAGACATCGATAAATTAAACATATGAATTTAAAGAGTAAATATGATTTGGCAAACATTGACACGAACAAAATCACAATAGATTTAAATAGATTAAATCGACACTATTAATCATTCACACATTATTTACCATTCATTAAGAAAGACCGTATATGTGAATATATCAAATATGAAGAACGTCAGCCTATCACGGTCAAAGTTTAAAAACTGGAATATTTTTCGTAATAAATTCTTTACAGTTTTTTTAATTTAATTTAGGGGAGATTGGTGGCGTTTCAGATTGATTATGTTGAAAGTCTGAAAGTTATCGGCGTTCAATCTTATCTAAAATAAAATTCATTTAATATGAATATACATATATTGTATTATTCAAAACATCAAACTTTGACCGTGATAGGCTGGCGTTTTTCTTCGTATTAGATTTAAATAGATTTAAATTTCTTATTGCAGATGCTTGAAACACTATGGTGGGTACTAATGCTTAAATTGTTCGATCTCGTTGAAACTGTAGTGTTTGTTTTGAGGAAGAAAGATCGCCAGATCTCATTTTTACACACATATCATCATGTTAGCACATTTATCTACGTTTGGTTGATGCTTAGTTACTTCAGTCATAGTTTTAACACGGTTTCGATGCCGCTCAATTGTTCTGTACATGTTATAATGTATTCCTATTATTTTCTGAGCACTTTTGGATCGAATATGCAACGAATACTTCTTCCAGTCAAGAAGTCTATTACCACTTTACAAATGGTAAGTCCTATATAATTTCTATATAATTTCTATATAATTTCTCGATATACATGTATCGATATTAAATATTGCTTTCATTAAAACAGACACATATTGCATTCATAATGGTAATTAGTATGCAAGGTTTTATACCCAGTTGCGGTACTAAGATGGTGAAATACTACTCTGTATTAACATGTATTAATTGCATGATAAACTTATTATTCTTTTACAATTACTTTTATCATTCTTATAAGAAGTCGAAAACAGCCTAATTTCGAAGTACAATTTTGTTGAATAAGTACTGCTGTTAATTCAATAAAATTCATTCTTATTTCATTTATTGTAATAAAATATTAAATATGTATATATCTAATTATTTATGCACGCGTATAGATATATGCAATGCTATGTGTATATCCTATTATTATTCCACAATTTCCTATGTATTTATCTACAACGGCGCAAGTAGCATAAAACAATGCTATGTAAAGGATTGCGTCTTGCATGCTAATATCTTGAAAGTTGAAAGGTAAATAGTTGTACAATTTGCGTGCACATGCTGCACGCTGCACACTCCAGTCTTGTCGGGCAGGTGATGGTATCTCACGAGTGCGCCTTAAGTGCTAATTTCGCGAGCGTTACATTTCCCACGTTTGACACGGCGAATCCTCGGGAGATCCCGCGCGTCCACGTCGATGTCTACACGCGCAGCGGCGTACATAATTCTGGATTTAGTGTCGCGTTAGGCCGTCTGAGTTTGAGGATCGTAGTCCCCCGAGTGGCGCGAGATACCGCATGGCCGGCCGTGCAGCGTGATTTGTGGACGTCAATACGGGGGTTATGCGTGACGTATCTCACCGATCATAATTACATCCTGTTACTGGAGAGATCCCTACGCCACGGCTCCTCCTTCCTCCTTCCTTCCTTCCTTCCTTCCATCCATCCACTCGTATCGCTCGTACCGCTCGACCATTCTCTCTATATCTACGATGACATGTAGAACTTTCTGATTTATCGATTCTGTAGAGGAATAGCTTAATCTTTCACCGCGTCTTGTTGACAAAGCACCGCGAATTTATTAAAGAAGATTATATTTTCTACACCGCTCAACAGTTTCAATCGTAAATTAATTTTTAATTATGCATGACAGATACTATTTGGATGAGATAAATAAGGGTCGATTTTAAGTCGGTTTTACGTCGTGCGTATATTGAAGAAGAATCATAAAGATATTTTCATATGGATTAGTCTCGCTTTACGTTTATTGCCTAGATGATTGCGAGTTTTCTTTTCCTATGGACAGTGATATACGATATTTAAACGGATGTAATTTGATTTCTGTCAACACCTAGCTACTTTCGAATCTGTATTTCGACACTTCCAAAAGCTTCTCCTCCTTTCGATGTTCTTTGAGACGGAAGTCATAATCTTACGTGGCTGACAGGTAATAGCCGAACGTTATTGTCGCCACCCTTTAGTCCGCGTACATACGCTATTGTGTTGCTTTTTTATTTTTCTTACCATCGCGTTTAATAGCGACAACATTGTCAGTAAATCACACCTAGACCCGTGAACCTAGCGCAACTCTGGACGAGGCTATTAGTATAAATACGGTTATAATGCAGGCCCCAGGGGTTGGAAAGGGTATAAACAGCTAGTAAATCAAGACCTGCGACCCTCCGGCAGCAGGGGTCTGCCACCGACTCGAAATCAGGGCGAACGTTTAGCGTCTCGCAATAGCGAATGAGTCTTTTCTAATCGGCCATTTTTGCCCGCCTGCTGCTCTTGCAGGTCGTATTATTGCACTGCCATCACTCTATGCATTTATATAAAACGGATCGTATAAAATCGTTTCGATGCAAATAAAAATATAATAAAGAATTACATTATAAGTTAATTCTACATTATGACGTTAACAATATACGTTTTTATTCATTTCTACTGTAAAAGAAAGTAAAAGCGAATTCGTATTTCTATTAAAAATCATACAAGTGTACTGGATTACCTATGCGATTTTAAGAAAGATGTTATCAACACGATAAAATTTTTCTTTCTCTCTCTCTCTCTCTCTCTCTTTCTCGTCCCTCTTTCTTTAATACCAAAATATAATTTCGTGACGCATCACGATTCCATGATAAAAGCCTGAACTATTTGCTTTACTATTTGGATAAATATTTGTTCAAATTTCCACCTTAAGATTTTCATGTTCTTTTCGATTGATCATATTTTCTTGTAAAATGGAAGGGCTCTTTAAGAGGAAGGAAGTAAATTGTAATTATAGTAATTTCAATTAAAAAAAAATATTCATCTTCCCCTCACTGGGCATGACAACAGAAAAGATTGCGGACAGGTGACGGGAGACACCGCGAGCCCAACTTGTACGAGTCTCTCACGTAACATCGAGGACGTACCTCCGCCGAATTAATCCGCCATTAATATCCGCGCACCGAGGCGGAAGAGCCGGTCGAGTGTGTAAAGCTTCTCTCTAAACACAAGCGGTTCTAACAAATGGCGAGATCGTCCGCGTCTCCCGACTCACGGCGTGGCGCTCCTAATGCCGCGGCCATGTATGCATACGACCGGACGGTGATTAATGCCGGCGTGGAGGGTCAAGATCCTCGTCGATTAATCAAATTAAGGGTGGAAGCGCGAGATAAAACTCGTGCCGCTGGAAAAGTCCGGCGGTTCGGCCGATGAGAAATCGTCACCGTGCGCGTTCGCTCGTCCGATATTGCCGGTGTGACCGTTGAAAGAGGGAAGTCTGGGGGAGGGAGCCTAAGAGAATCGCACGAGTGTTGAAAAATGACGGACATGACTTATCTGTATCGAGGATTGCGCCTGGCGGCCGTTTGGAAAGAGGCGTGACCACTGGCCCTGAAGCTTCGAGCTCTTGTACATTCTGGACCGAGAGAAAACTGGACGTTCTGGTCGCACGTCGCAGGCCAGAAGGGGCTTAAGATCTCTCGGGTGTAAACGGAAATGTGAAATATAGTCCCGATATGATCTACCCAAGTTAGCCTGTCTGTTCATCGTTTTCCAAGTTGGTTCATCGCTCGTTCATCGCTTCACCCGTGCGAATGAGGGACGGCTAAATGCGTCTGATGAGAATCAAACCTACGGCACCTACGCGCGTAACTGAATTTACGGGTCGCCGGACTCTCTCGGGTTCTCTCAGCACCGCAGACGGACGCTATAGAATATAGATGGACCTCTTTCAGCGTCCGGCAGCCGGAGCCCCGCGATTACCAACGCGGGGCAGATCGGCGAGTCCCTCGAAACGATCAGTTAAGTCCCGCGCACGAATTCATATCTCGCGCATCGTTTGTCTCGAACAGAAGCTCGCATAGGCATTCGTCGGGGACGTTTGAAGCGATGAGCTGCGGAGCGAGAGAAAGAGGGAGGGTTCGTCGAGTTCAGAGGGCGATCGTCGTGTGTGTACCAAGGTGGGACAAGCGGAAAAGGCGGGAGGAACGGGAATGAAAGAGAATGAGAGAGATAGAGAGAGAGCAGCCTCGTATTCGCAAACACGCAAATTTCAAAAGGCACTCGACTATGTGATGTCGCGGCGGGCATGAGCGACGGGGCTCTCCGACGACGTATGCAAATACAGATCGAGCATGATAAATTGCTCTTGTCAAGCCACCCGGTATTTCGCACGAGCCTATAGAAACCCGTTTATCGTCGAGGTACGGATTCCGCATATAATCTCGCCGTCCTCGCCGTCCTCGCCGACGGTTGAAGTAGCGCCGCGACGTGTCACGTCGCGCATCGCGACGGACGAAACTTTCGCGTGCGCTTAGTCGGCGCCATCGACGACGACGTCGACGACGACGACGACGGAGTGCGGCCTGGCTGTACCTCCGACGTCGTTATCGTTCGCCGCCGCCACTGCTGCGAATTTTAATGGAATAGTTGCGTTGTCGCCGCAAAACGATTCCACGGCTCGCGATTTGTCACGCCGGCAGAAACGCAAACGATCATTTCGTCCTTCTCTGCGAATACTCGACAAAACTTTTGATATGCCAGACGAGTGGAATTAGGCGACATCGTAATCTTAAAAATTCCGCTAGTTGTCTTTTATTTTATATCATTTCTTTTCGATGAACTTAATTTATATAAGATTATAAGATATAAGATTAATTGATTATCGGAGTTTTAATAAAATTTGAAAAATTGTCTGATTTATTTAATCCTGCTGGTCTGTTTGAGTCTATTCGCGATTCAAAATGTAATTCATTTTCTTACTAATATTTTATTTAAAAACTTTTTTCCCCCAAAATTTCATGATGTTATCTGTTAATGTAAGATGTTTTCCGTAAAATTTTTTTTATTTATTTTTTATAGCTTTTTAATTATATTGATCCAAATATGATGATATGATCATATAGCAAATTTGAACAGATCAAAATTAATTCGAATGGCAAGTACGCAAAATTAGACTTGTTACTTTTTCTAACGTCCACTGGTGACCATCAAATTTATTCCTAGTTTGTGCGCGAGGTGATATCTCAGCTAGCCATTACGAGGCAGAGTCGGCAGCTGAAGTCTAGGGGGTTGTGTGATATTACCTTTCCCTTATGATTGCACAGAGTTGTCAACAATGTCGCTGCACGAACTTGAAAAGACTCGTGACGTTCTTTTGGATGAGAGGATCAGTCTTTATTTCTACCGGTCGCGAAAGAAAGCTCGTCGGCACTCGATTTAGGTGTAGATTCCGCGTCTAAATCGTTTCATTACAAGATTTCGTAGGGGGTCCTGGCACATCTGCATTAAATGCAGCCCGAAACCGGTTCACCAGCTTCGTATCAACCTACTAAAGCATTCCTTTTTTCCACGTCGATTTATTGCTCGTCACGTCGTGAAAGATGTCGTCGACGAGCTCACTACGGTTTGAGAATTATTCTCGATGGAATGGCGGATATTGAGATAAATAACCGGTTCTTGCATTAATCCCAACGGATTAAATGTACATGAGTTTTTATTATGCGCATTCATTTTAATAATTATTAATATTCTAATCTTAATGAGATGCTTACGCTTGTTATGTAAGTATGAACATGTAATAATTAACGTCTAATCTAGATTTTTATACAATAATCCCAGTTTTTCGCATAGGAACATTTATTACCTTCCGAAAATATTCCCATGCGAAAAGCTATTTTTTTCTTTTGTCAGAGATTCCGTTTTATATTTTTTGATGTAAATGCATTAATGTGCTTTCAGTACATGGACTTATATAACCATTTCAGTTTGACGCATACACGCGTGATTATCGCGTATTAGGGTAGTAAATAAAACGCTCGCTAATGGAACCCCGCAATTCCACGCTCGCACACTTCGCTTTCTCTGCATTATGTTGCCGTCGATCAGCACGACATGTATCAGGAATTCCAATTATCCGTATATTTTGAGTCACATGAGCGTCGTCTCGTCTGTCCGTACCAAAAAATTATTAGATATTCCTTTTAACGTAAGGCATGCAATTAATTCACAATTATCCAGATATTTCCATTTCAGCTTTTTTATACAGTTATCTTTGTACGCGTATTGGGCAACAATATTAAAGCTTGGAAACGCGCAATCGTTCTCGATATCGTGTATTCGTAATAACGTAGAATTCGAATCGAATCTACTGGATGTACTCGTTGTATCTCGCATATTGCATTCCGTCAAAAGGTATTCTTCATTCAGTACCAATCATGTAGAAGCGGTGGATACGTATGGCGAATATTAGATCCGCGTTTCCTTTCGCGACGGCCGGGATCGCCGTGGTGTCACGTCCCGAAGGGCCATCGCGGTGGGAAGCTTGAAATGTGAGTCAGAACGAAAGCGAATGTAGTCGATCCGAGAAGTGATTCGTCGGTGGCACCCACAGGCGCCCACGCCACGCCTTCCAAACCGGATCCCATACTCCGTCGTATTTCCACCCAATCCACTCTCTGCCTCTTTTCCTTTGACCGTGCTCTGCTTTTCACGTCGCTCTGGAGAGAGTTCTCGCTCGATGCGTCCCGTTTTCGAAAAGCGCCGTTCCGCTTCAATCCGGCCGTTTTAAAGGGATGAAAAGGACCTTGGTCGGCTCACTCGTAACACACCCTCGTACATGTATACAGACTCATTCGCTAACGATCAGTCATTTAGTCGGAGAAATATCCTCAACTCTCTCTCTCTCAAGAGATTAGAATATGATGATATTGAACTCTCAAAACTCTATTTTTTTTTCCGCATATAACTATTTTGAAATAAATCGATTGAAAGAAATATTATGTGATAAAAACATTCCTGTGTTCATTGATAAAATTTATTAATATCTAAAATAATATATAGTATGCGAATTTCGTGTATGATATTTGTGGAGAACAGAACTTGAGTTTCTGTGGTATCTCTATTTCATCATGTGTATACGATGATGATATCAGTAGATGCACCTGTTTGTTTCTCAGAGGGTTTGAATTAAAATCGGTGAATGATAAGATTCACTTAGGCTGGGGCAGATTTAACGAGGACTTCACGTCGGTGATCGAAACGATTATAATCGTGATTAAATAATGAGATATTAATACGCAGAGATGAAGATACGGAATATTTATATAGATATATTTTCTTTTCATTTTTTCCCCTAATACAATTTGTTCTCGACACGTTGGCATCTTAGGCCGTTCATTATCCAATTTAACTTCCACATTTTTCGCGAAGATCTTGAAGCAGGACGAGTTCCGCCTTCGTTCCGCTGTTAATACGTGACCGTGTTGAGAACGAGCTAAAATAAATACTACCGTAACGATGTTGGACTCTGCGCGTCCCGTCTTGCATTCAGATTTTAAGGGAAGAATAATTACCTCTCGCCACCTAACCCATCGTGTCGGTGCACGGAAGCGTCATGCCGCTTTCTTCGGTCCGGCAGAAGCGTATGTACCATTGAATAATGCAGCCAGCAACGAGCGCGATTCCGCGCACGCACGTGACGCACCAACTGCGGTGAAGCGCGCGCGCGCGCTTTTCTCTCTTTTTTTTTTTACGTCGCATCGCGCACAGGGAGAGCAGTGCATTCACCGGGAGGGCGCAATATCTGGAGGACCGCGTTTCGCCATCCCTCCCTTCGTTCACCCCTTTTCCACTCTTCCGCCCTCCGCCTCCGCTCCCTTCCCGCCTGGGTCGTTGACCTGACCTGGTGAAACACATACGGGGGTCCTTACGCGGACTCTGAACCGTACGCAGCGTTCAGATGAGAGGATTCTACAGAGACTCCTTTGCGACGGAAAGGGGTAAGCGAACGGCTGGATAAAAATATGAAAGCGCGGAGGGAGAAAGGGAGAAAGAGAGAAGCGCGCACTTACATGTGAAAAGAGTCATATGCGCATTAGATTGTCTTTCTCTCTCTTTCTCTATTCGAACAGTCTTTCGCTTCTCTTCTTTCGTTACGTGCACTCGCGAAACGTCGTTTATTCGCACCGCGGGCGAGCCTCTCTTTCTCCATTGAATACGTCCTTTCCTGCTCCTCCTCTCTTCCTTCTCTTCTTCTGTCTTCTCCACTCTGGAAGCATCGTTCATTCGCACCCCGTGTTCTCGGGAATATAGGACGTGCGTAAGCCTGGCACCGAGTCATGTGGTGATGTATGTCCCGTACCCGGTGATTTATATGTATAATCGTGCGATAACGTTGGCGCGCTGATTAAATTTTTCTCGTCCTGAACGAAGCGCAGACTTTTTCGCTCATCTACGATTCTCCAACTACTTCTTATGAGTTTTCATCAGTACGCGCGCGATTACAAATAGACACAGAGGCCGGAAATTCAATACACATGCGCTCGCAAAACCGGTATGCGATTTATATGTTCTATTATTTGTAACCGTACGCCCGTCGGGCTTTGAACCTTCCTGACATTTCAGGAGGACACGAAGAGGAGTGTGCGAATGAATAATTTAATGGCGATCAAATAGCGGCGGGTTTGCCTCCGAGAAAGCTCATTCAGTCGCCTGAAATACTTCACTGGGCTTTACCCTTTAATATTATATCATTTTTTATTGTCTCACATATGCAGACAGTGGGTAAACAAACGTCTAACAAATATTTTATATTTCCATCTTTTATGTTTTCGTTTTTCGATTTTATGACGTTTTTCCTTTATCAAAAGTAAACATATCTGCTTTTACAATTAATCGAGAAGAGATGGAGTTTTTGCATTTTTTATATGAAAATATTTCATTTAAAACATGCAATAGAGAAGCGCGCGCGTGTGTTTGTATTCTTTTATTTCACTACAGCTGCAATTGACAAATGTCACGAGAAAATCGGTCAATGTATGACAGATACCAAAGCATAGATGTAAATATTGTCGTTGAACACTGCAACAAATCGTCATGCGGTGCGACGTATCAACATTCGCGCGTATAGCCGAGCGCATTGACCCTGTCAATCCGGCTGCCGCGATGAATGCGAGTAAGTGCAGTCTTACGCAATACGTATGAGAAAGGGTGGCGTTGCCGATGGTTGGAGAGGTCGGGATGTAATACCGAATCGGGGGTAGGGAAGGAGCGAAAGATCGTAGCGTCGAGCGCTCACGGTGGGAAACGCATAATATAGAGAGGGAGGACGGGCGTTGTGCATTATGGATACGCTATTCACCCCGCTTATTACTTCCTACATACCAGCCCTCTTACCCAGGTACGCATGAACGCGCGTACGAGCCATCGTCACATGCGTTTCGTTCTCAAGGAACACGCTTCAATGGCCGTTCGCGTTCGCGTGCAGCGACTTCGCGGTCAGTCTGTGAAAGAACAGGGATAAGTACAGGGAAAATAATAAGAAATAAGAAAAGAGTGTCGAACTTCCAGTAGGAATTTCCTGAATTTGTCTCATTTCGTTCCTCTTCGAAAGTAAATCGGTAATGGTCGCGGGGTTTGTGCGCAACAGCGCTTGCATTTTTCACAAGCGTGTATACGGGTAGCTTAGTCATGGGATACGATAGCCTGATAAATAATAAACCGGCCTTTCCGCACGTCGCAGGTCAGCAACCTAAAGGCGGCGGTAACGTCGTCCAGGATAGATAATAATCAGAAGGATACGATATCGAGTTGATATGACTGCAGCCATACAACACTTTTGATTAAACGAAAATATTTTTGAGTTTAGGATACTTATCCGTCATAAAATTTCATTTGTAGTATGTGTGTTTGAACTTATTTGTGTCATTTTTGTGAAATTACCTTAAAAAGAAATGAATCTTATACACTTCCTGAAAATAATCTATGTATAATTATTTACTTTATTTTGTGTAAAAGATTGCGTAAAATATGTATGTTTTATTACAAAGTTAAATTTGATGATTGTATTATTGATACATAATCGAAATATTCACACTGACTAGTTGAAAGTTTACTTGAACAATAAAGCTACGAATACTATCCTCAACCAACAAACACCTCGAACTATAGTTTTACATCGGTGGATAGCTCATCGATTTCGAATTTAACATCGCAGCGGGAGATGGAGCAAGCGAGAGAACAAGAGTGGGTCTATGGCGTAGGATTAACAACCGGATAATGAAGTCAGTGTTTCATGCCCTGTGAAATTGCGCTCACTCGGACCGCCATTCGATTCTCGCTTTGATTGCGCCATGGGCGAAAGCACAATGGCTATAAACCGTCCAGCGTTGAGCACCATTGCTAGTAACCCTGCCTCCCCCCTTTATTCGACGGAATTTTCGGACTCGAGGTTTTCCAGATTTTTCAACGCGCTCGTCAATGCTTTGAAATCGCGCGTTAGCCATTTCGCCAGTGCTTCGACGTTCACGACTCCGTTTTGTGAAATGAAAAGCTGAAACAAACGTAGAATTGACCGTTTCGACAGGAATTCTATTAATCCCTTACCTAGCTCGCGAGAATACAGAGATTTAATATACTTTTGTTATTAGATTGAAACAGACTCTCTGTAAACAAATAAGTATTGTAAGGTAAATAAACATTTTTATTTATTTTTAGAGTGCATTTCGAAGGAAATGTCATAGGAAATATAGTTATTCTTTTTATTTTGGAATATATTTGAAAATATTGTTATAGGATTTATGTCGAAAGCGTGATTTAAAAAGAATTTACGAAATTGAGGTATGTTGTTGCATTGTTCTATTAAAAAGTCTGTGTTCCACTATTAAAAAGTCGCTATGTACAAAATATACAATCCGAACGCTACGGAACTCTTGATGAAATTTTTCTTTAACTCTTCAGTTTAGTGGACGCTGCATTTTTCGCGTCGAATTTTTTCAGGTTTCCTGACGGCCGTCCACGCCCCGCTTTCGAAATGGCACCCACTATTTCACCCTCACGAACTTTCACGGTGTATTACGGGGTACAAAACGGGGTAGGCCTCGCTCTCTTTTTTTCTCTGTGTTTTTTAAAATTCTCGCTAACGCCATTAACGTGGACGTATACTGGCTGTTTTTGCAAGCCGACGCTCGGAAAAGATTTGCCCGCCGCTCCCTGCATACGATCGCATGACGCGCCTGCTCGCTGTCGCATTTAAACACGTAAACGAATTAACTCGAATTTCAATAATCCGTTTAGCCCGCACCAGGGATTCTCGTCCCCTGGGCTGTTTCGGAAAACTGCTCAGCGTATGGAGCAATTTTGTGCACCGTAAACAAAATTATACGAGACGTAACGGTGCACTTCGCGGGCATTTAATGTACACCCTTTTTTCTTCTTTCAAAAACTTATACGACATTGTTAGAAAAAATTATGTTTTGATATTTCAATGAAATATAAAATCATTATTATAATCTAACAATACAAAAATATATAATTTTGCGATTCGTATGAACTTTGTATATCTATAGAATATTTATAGATAATTTCAATTATAATGAAATAGTGTAGAGATTCAAGTGACCGGTGTGCAAGGCGCTGAAAATGTGGTTTCACCACGTCCATCCGTTCGACGAATCGAGCGGCTGCAATCACGTGGCTTTTACGCCACGGCGTCCCTCGCTGAAAAGCAAATGAGTGGTTGTTGGCCGCAGAGACGACGATGATGATGACGATGATCATCATTACCGCGGTGTCCCGATACGATGACCCCGCTGCTGCAGTACCGATGATTCACGGACGCTTATTAGCTCCCGGCTCTCTCTTACCCACTCTCTTTTTTCTCCCTTATTTTCTCATTCTCTCACCCTTTACGTTCTCTTTCTCCTTCTCTCTCTTTCTCTCCTGCCTTCTCGTCATCGTCAATGTGAGATAACGAACGGTAGCTGGTCGTACAACAACCGAATTGCGACTATCACTTTCACGATCTATTATTTACGAAATTTAACTCTATCGGACGTTCGTTAGAAGCGGCTTTGAAACCGATGAAATAAACAGGATTAATGTTTTCATCTTTTCTGCATGGTGTAACCGAATGAAAGTATAAATCAAGCCCCGTGCAATCATCATCGTCCACGCCCTCGGGACACAGTTGAGTAGGCCATCGGATCCACGTGCAGAACGATGATGATGATGACTATCATTGTAGCTCGCGCTGATGGTCTCGTTAGGCTCACTATGGCTTCCGCTGTGGATGACGCATGCAATACAATGCGATGCAACGATGTTTCAAGGTGGATAACGATATCAATGGAAATGATGATGTCGACTTTCAGGAAAAAATTTTTTCCGACGATCAGCATTTTGAAAAATATGTAGCAACAAAGATTTTATTTTACCGATCGTACACACACACACATCCTCGAACCACACGAATCGATGATCCGGCATGGCGGTTGATCGCGTCCTTTTCATCTCCTGCCGTTCTCGTCCCCGTCGCGGCGGAATCAATATGGGATGATGAACTGCGTGGATTGAAAGCGATCGCTGGTGTTAACAGCGTTATAACATCCAAGCCTAGGCCAGGATCTCTCTGTATTGCCAGCCGGTGCGGTCATGATGTCCGCGGTATTTTGCACGCTGTGACCCCACGTTTGCGAAACCCACCATTTACCTCTATCTATCACAATCATTTGGTGGTCGGAGTCGCGGCGAAAGCCTCGGTCACCGTGGCTACTCGACAGTTTCGATATTCACTCGAACGTTTGATCCTCGATGTTGTAAAATAATCTACGATCTACGCGTCGATCAGATACAACGCTAAACTGAAGAATTTTTTCTATTCTATTCTTTCTCCGTTTCGTATCTTCCCTGTTATCTCAAGCTTTTGGAGATCAAATATACCGTGCACAGTTCTCCATGCATACACTCTCCTGGATACCGTTTGATCTACAAGTTTGTTTATCCTGTTACGCGAATAAAGTTGCGTCTGCGATTGGATCCACCGCGCCAGCGTCTCGTTCAGTGCGTTTTTGTTAAACGAGAGCAAGTATTTTCTTTAAAAAAAAAAAATGAATAGAAACAAAAAGTGAAGTGCGCCATTGTTACGCGACTGACGAATGATAAAAGGCTTAACGTTTATTGAGATGAGTATAACGGGATTATGTCCATTAATTGGGCGCGTTTTCCAAGTAACGATATATTTACCCTTCTCTCTCTCTCCCCCTTCTCCATGAAGATTGCTGCAGCGCGGACTGCATGGAACTGACATTAAGCACCGCTTTTTATGGAGCGCTACAGTTAGTCGCGCGTTTTATGCTCGCATACTCATCGTGTCGGATCATGATGATCATTTTTCAGGAAAGTTATAAAGAGCACTTTAATTGACTTAATGTTTTATCTTTCTTTCAAAAAAGTTTATTTCATGACGCAAATATTTAAATTCAAATATTTCTCTACTAATAATATGCAATTTCTGTTCCTTTTGATTCTTTTGTTTTCATGTCAAATCCTGGAAATTGATGTACGCCACCCCATATTCACGGAACGATATCATCCAGCTTTATTATTAATCCGCCGAGTATTTCTCTGAAAATAATTTCTGTTGAAATATACGACAATTATATATCTCTCTTGAATGTCGTGGAAAAATTTTCTGAATTTTCCATCTGCGTACTGTGGGAAAATGATAGCAAAAGGGATTCAAAGAAATCAGCATTTGGAATATCACGATTTCTTCGTTTTCTTTTGGTAATTACGAATCGATGGTACAAGCGCTTTTTACTTCCGGTTTTGCGTTTCCTGTGTCCAAAAATGCGAGATTCTTTCCCGCTTTCTAAACCAGAGATACCGAAAAATATACCTTGCTCGCGAATAAAAATACATGCAAGTCGTAGACATGGCGGAAACGATACGCTTTATTCCTTTGCCCGAAAAAGCGTGTAATCTAGCTGCTCGTCTGACCCGTTGGAGATAAGGAATTAAAAATGTGGATTTTGCTTGGTTTATTATGAATTAAACGTAATGCCGTCGGCCGTGAAAAAGTGTCTGCCGCTCGTAAATGCAAATAACTTGTGTGCGTAAACACGTACGTATGCGCATGCATAGGTTGGTTGGATTAAGTAATATGCGGTGGTGGAGGATTTTACCCTCCTCGGTGTTCTTTTACGATTTCGAGGGCTTTCCTGTTGTGTGAACGTTTATGTGTGTGTTACTCATGAAATGTTACTCGTTATATTACGTTATATCGCGCTGTGCTATGTTTCGGTTCCGTCATATTATTTCACGATCGATAATTGACGTCGCAGTAAGTAACGCAAAATATTTTATAATGAAAAGATGAAATTATGAAACCGTAAAATAATTTTTAACAGAACTTTATGTTAATTATACAATGAAATTGTACCAAATTGAAATATTTAATATAAATGAATGATCATAATAACTTTTTGTCTCATTTATGCAAAAATTTATGGAAAAAAAATTGGTTGAATATGGCATAGCATTTTTAATTGGTTGCAGCAGCCAATTTTTTGTTGCGTTAGCCTATCGAAATTCTGTACTGATATTGCGGATATTGCTAACGCAACCATAATTTGACCGCTGCAACGAAAAATTGGCTGCTGCAGCCAATTAAAAATGCTCTGTGATATTTTACCATTTAATTTGTTATTGCAGCCAATCTTTTCTTTCAGTGTGAAACTTCTCATTCATGAATTATATTATTTACCAAAGGCGCATAAGAGGAATGAATGGAATTACCCCTCTGTTGTCTTCCTGGAATACGCACCTCCATACGCGTGTAAGTACGAGTAATAATGTAGCGATATACCCGGTGTTTAGTACTCGTATTATCGTAGCCCGTTTGTTTGAACATGGCTTGCAGCCGCGGCTATTTGCGCTGTACGCATCCGTGTAGATTGCACTCTGGACGGATCGTGATATCGGGACTGATGTATCGTTAAGATATCGGACACAATATACCAACGTCATACGGCTGTGCCGTCTATATCCGGTAACGACTTCGAACGAGCGATTTTCGGCGAGAACTCGCGCGGACTTTATGGACAAACGAATCGAGGAGGGTGCAGAATTAGCCGAGATAAGCTTTCAGGTGAATCCCGAATGTGCGATCATGCCGATCGAAAACCCGACAAATCCAAATATGAACGATATATAATAACGTGAATATCGAATCTTGAAACAATGCGTCTTTTTAGAAAATAATGTGCGCTTTTAAATTATTCGCTTAACGAGTAGATTGAATTGTTGCAATACAATTGGATATGCATATGTATACATACGAGAACAGTGTTCAGTTTGACTTGCATGCGCATAAAACGCTACCGCTGTCAGTGCACGAGAGAGAGAGAGAGAGAGGGGCGATAAAAAAACAATATTTGAAAACGTCATATATACGAACGCAGCGATTCGATTCGCTACCGCGAATTTCCGTCGGCGCAAATAACGAGAACTCCACGAAGAATGGTGCATTGACGTCATGCCACCGTCACGAACGGATAAAAATCTCATCCCCGACGTCGATCTCTTCCGAATCAGTCAGAAACGTTATTATGAAAAATATGGCCGACACGACGCGACGGTGAGATTTCGGTTGCATCACGAATATGATTTTGCATTGCTTTACTACCGGGTTCGGCAGCGCGCGTTCCGTATAAATTGCCTGGGCGATCCTCGAAAACTGGGAAATTTTTACGTAGCTGTCGCGATCGTTGATTGCTGCCGGCGAGAGCACCCGGACTGACGGGCGACGGGGGACGGGGGTGTTGGGAAGCGGGGGTGCTTTTAAAAGTGGCCGCTCGAAAAAAAAAGGCCATTCGCGCTCCAGCGGACGTGTATACACTCGCATGCGCAGCCGAGATACGAGGCCTCTTTACGAGCAATATCTAATGGATTGCATCGGGCGAGCGCAAACGTTAAATTTGACGTTCACGATTATTGCAGCCCTCCGGGGAGACTTGCGCGGGGCCTCGCGGAGTACGGGAGGGTGGCGGAATAGGACGATGTTTGACGTTAATTTTATAATCCTGGCGAAAAAGTTACGATCCGGTAGTAGCCCAAGCGATTCTTTTTCTCTCTCCCGTTTCGCGTCGGTCACCGTCCTGGTTATTCGTTGTACTTCTGTTTTTCATTTCGAATTTTTCTTTGTCGTAATAATTCCTTCTTCTGTTTACGGGCGAGTTTAATCTCTCGCTGTGTACCTGTGATATTTTATGCATTTTGTGCGCATTTACTCTTTTTCGCATTCTCTCTCTCTCTTCAATTTAACAAAGTTCATTTCAATTATGCGAAACAGGAAAATAATTCTAGAAACGCCGCTCCGTTACTGCATAATTAATTAACGAAATTCTTTTGGGGATGAATTAAAAAATGCGTAATTGCTAGAACACGGAGCGTATAATTCGCCTATTTAAATTTCATTCCATTAATAGTACACAGAGCGGCTAAATTTTTTTGCTTTTTCTTATCTTAATTTTCGTTGCTTCCGCCTCTTTGTTTCGCACTTTAGAAATCGGCTCTTTTTTCCTGCTTTACAAATTGCTTCAACGTCGCGTACCAGAAAAGGGTTGCACGATACTCGCTAAGCGGCTTGCTGTTACCACTTCAACAACCAATGGTTGTTAAGTTTAGTCAACTTGTACTTTAACGATGCCTTTTTTATGTTAAAAAAAAAAGTTGTACTGGCTATGGAGAAACGCATTCGAAG